TTATTCTGTTTACGATTTACGCAAAAAACGTATAAATATTTATTATATGTACGAGTATGTATGTACGTAAATACGTGTGAGTGTGTTGTATGTAAGTGCAAGCTCACGCACAGTTTTCCAAGTTATGAAAAAAATAAAACAATTAATTAGTTTTTTACCACGGAGAAATCGTTCCATGAATTGCATTTGTACTGGGTTTTCCAATAAGAGAAGTTATTTTTAAAATCAATGGAAAGGTACATTTTTTAAAATAGAAGAGTGGATGTTTATTTCAGTGCAAAGAGGAAGATTTGACATTAATTATGGATAACAATATCGGCCGAATGACTGTCACAGCTACACACGCAGGTTTGTATCCGTTTTATGAAAATTTCCGTCACCAAATCTCAAAATGACTTCACGAGTCCTTCTTTCAGATTTTAAATTGGTGTTGGCCTGTTGGCATAGATCTTATCTTTCACGTGGTCCCAAAGAAAAAGTCCCAAGGTGTTAAGTCACAAGATCTCGGTAGCCAATTGCTTTCACCTCTTGGAGAGATAAAAAATGCAAAGTGAATACTTTTCCTTGAAATTATCGATGGTTTCGTAGCTTGTGTGGCACATAGAGCCTTCTTGTTGAAATTAAATATTGTCAAGATCAATACCATCCAATACCGGCCATAGAAGATTATTAATCATCACTCGATAACGCAATTCTTCGCCGTATTTTTATTATTCGCCGTAGCTGTTGCCTCTTCAGTCCAGATGATTTTTTACTGAAATTCCGAATCATTTTCATGCATTTCAAAGGCTCAATCAGCAAAGACACGACGTCGTTGATCACCGGCCGGCTGAAGTTCTTGTCTTGACTCAACTGTACAAACCTTAAGACCCAAATAAAACAAAAAAATAATAAGATAAATAAAATATAAGAAAATTAAATTAAATAAAATAATAAAATTAAATAAAATAAAAGGAAATAAATGAGAACCAAACAAAAGTTAATTAAATAAAAATAGATGAAAAGAAATAAAGCAAAATAAAACGAAAAAATTAAAAAAAAAAATAAAACAATAAAAAATGTAAATAAAAATGTAAAAAATGTAATAAAAATAAATAAATTAAAACAAATTAAATAATAAAATATAATAAAATGAAATCAAATAAAAAGGAAATAAAATAAAATACATAAAAAAATAAAAGGAAATATTATAAAAAGAAATAAAAATATTCAAATGAAAAAAAATAAAATAAAATAAAATAAAATAAAATAAAATTAAATTAAATTAAATTAAATTAAAATAAATAAAACATTTATAATTGGCAATTTGTAACCGCTGAATTGATTTTCGGCTGAGCTTTATGTTCTGTCCGAATTACACTCGGAGGGGTTGAAATTCTCCTCCGAGGGGTGACCGCAATTAGACAATTTAACTTAATTTTTTTTTAAATTAGTTTTCCATAACTTTTGGATGTTGGTGCCTTCCGAATGGCAGTACGCAATGCTAACCACTCGGCTACCGCGGCCGCCAAAAATAAAATTGAAATAATAAAATAAAATAAAATATAATTAAAAAAAAAAAATTAAATAAAATGAAAAATTTAAATTAAATAAAAAAAATAGAATTAATTATAATAAAATAAAATAAAACAAAGTGAAATGAAATAAAATAAAAAAAACCTTGAGACCCAAGTCTTTTTGCAAAATACGGCGTAATGACGGGACCAAACATGAGTTTTCCTCAACTCCTTGGACTAAAGCAGCAATTTCATCAGTTTTCTCATAACTAACTTGCACCAACAGCTCCATTATTAAAGCAATTTCTGTGTTGCGATCCGACAAGATGCTCGCTGGGACCGAAAAATCTTTAAGTTTTATGAAACGTCTTTGCTAGGTTTTCGCTAATTTTTTTAGTGCCCATTTTATAGTGATATTTAATCATTGCAATGACGTTTACCACATGCGGACGTTTTACTTGTTAAATTTCAAAAGAACTAACCCTTCAAAAGTGACATCTACCGGAATCGCAGACTATTCAAAATAACACCTCTTATTGGAAAACCCTTTATATTTATTTGAAGGTGAATTTATTTGCATTATAAATTCAATTTAGAAATCAAGAATTTTTATTCAAAAATAAATGTACATGCCGCCTTAAAGTTAAGCTAATTTGTTTAATTAATGGGAAGTTATAAATTAGTTTTGAAGTGGGCAATTAATTGCAGTAATTATTCATGTGTACTTTATATTTATTTAGATTTCTTTATATCGAGAAATGTCTGTGTATTTGTGCTTATGGCTAACAAAATTTATTGAGCAAAGAAAATATTTGTTAATATCAGATTCAAAATTTGAATTGCTTAAGGCCCATTCGCATCCAAAAGGAGCAGATAGCTTTGTTAGAACATTAAAGCTCTCCCGAGCGAATTGACATCGTTACATGGTTAAATACGCATCTTATATAGCGCGTCCGCTGAGTTATTTTTACGAAGATCGATACCAGTTTGAATAACCAATTCGGTTATTCCACGCTTCTCCACCGTAAAGCTGAACGGAAATGATGATCATCTAGACTGGATTTTACATTTCAATTACTTAATCAGTCCATATTAGACTTCTAACTCATGACAGTCAGCAGTGACGATGACAGGATATATTTCGGCTTGTACTTATTCACTGTGAAACCCTTTCGCTTCGGTTCCTACTCCAGTCTGGAGATGAGTGCTCTAAGAGATCAGGAGTGTAAGCCAAGTACTAAACCGTTTGGCTGGCTGTTGTGATTGCAGCTTTTCGACATCATCGTTGAGATGAGATAGTCATCCAAGTTGACAGCAGGTCTTCGGGTCGTACAGGCATCTTGAACACTGGAAGACATAACTTCCATTAATAACAACATGATCTATATAATTGCGTTATATTCATTCTGGTGACAGCAATATAGATTAATGGCGAGGAACACACTGGAGCGTGGGTGCAAATCAGCGAGAGGTTGAAAAATTACACTTTGATGCGGATCGGGGCGAGATGTTCATCCATTGGGGTGAAAGCCAGAACTTGATGTCTTTCTCTCTCACCACAGATCCAACACCAAGCTTGCACTCCTTCATATGGCCGCTGTAATAAAAGTCACAAGGCTCCACTCGTCAACGTCGTTATGCCATTCATTGTATTTCTTAGTCGGAGCACGCGCTACCCTTCGTGGCGAAATCTCTCTGCTAAATAAATTCAGCATCAAATTTGACCTGGGTGGCGGAAACTTCGTAATTAAGGGACGGGCAATTTCAAGTGAAGAAAAACATATTCCGCAATACGTAACACCTAAACTGGATATATTGAAGTGGCTCCACTAAAGCTCCCCCTCTTTTACCCATGACACAAGGCTCCACGCAATTTGGTTATTGCCCCAATTTCCAAAGTGAGCAAGAGGAGGAATTGAGTATAGCAATAGCCCTTCAACTGGAAACAAAACTACACCCCACTACATCCCCAACCAAGTTGATTTTGAAGAATTACAAATAGACGTGTCAACTATTATTAATATGAAATTCCATTGAAGTCATAACTTTTTCATTAAATATAAATAAAATATTTCAAAATAAGTGAGAATTTCTATTGAATAAAAGAATGCAATAATTGTATTTATTCATAGACTATACACAAGTACATATATACCCAAGAACATAAGCGTACATTACAATCTGATTTATGACACAATAAATGCAAATGAAAGAAAGGAAAAATGAAAAAGAAATTTATTATATTCTCCGGTATTTTGTCGCAACATCATCGTCAACGTCAACATCAGCAGCATAGAGACGCAAGAAATCACTAACCAATTTGAATTTGGCTAAAAGTGAATAACACTTTTAACAACGACAACGATATACCCAATTTTATCTACATTATACAACAGCACAACAATAACAACAACAACACAACAACTTACATCTACTTATTTATTATGAGAGAATATCAATTTGTATGTAATATAAGAGTATTTCTACATAATGTAATTTTGTATACTTACATATAACAATAATAACAACATCTACATATTGATAGATAAGCAAATATATAGATATGTATGTATAACTTTAGCTTGCAACGTCCTATTAATCGGATTTTCCATTGTTGGTTATTTGGTCGGCGGGTTTCAGCTCGGCGCGAGTAGGCAAAATTAATTGGCTGTGGGTTTTATTTACGTATTTAGGTGTGGGTGTGTGTGCGTGGGTGTCCAAGCAAGCGGGTGTCATTTCATACTAGTATCAATACACTAATCAAATCAGACATCACATCATTTGGGAGCTCATGCTCACATTTCTTGTTAATATAATACACCAAAATAAATCAATTCATGTGAAATTGGCTGCTCTTGTTGTTTTTGTTATTAGATTTTGCAAATTTTTTCCAATTATTATTTGCTATCCCCGTCGCAGGATTTATGTATACAGAGATCTTTTTCAAGTACTGGCAAAGGGTATCACTTTGGGTTAAAAATAATATAATGAGAAATAAAATTGAATAAAAAATTAATTGAAATAAATTCAAATAACATGAAATGAAATAAAATGACTTAAAATAAAATTAAAATATAAAAATAAAAAAAAAATAAAATAAAATAAAATAAAATAGAAAATAAAATAAAATAAAATAAAATAAAATAAAATAAAATAAAATAAAATAAAATAAAATAAAATAAAATAAAATAAAATAGAATAAAAAATAAAAAAAAAATTAATTTTAATTGAATAGAACAAAATGAAATAAAAAAGAACAAAATGAAAAAAAAAATAAAAAAAATAAATAAAGTGAAATAATGCTGTGAATACAGCTGAGAGACTGCGCGTTGACTAGGATCACATATAAAAGTTAGAGCTCTTAACTTTCTCTCATAAACCTATTGCGGCATCCTTTATTTACGTCGATGTACCTCTATATTTGCCTATGCTTATTCACACATAAATACATACCAACATGTTCATATAATTTATTGCCCACTCTATTTCTTGTTATATTTGCAGCACAAATTATCCGTGTGCAGTCGTGTTGTCGAGCAGACGGTCAAGCGATCAGGGGCGGTTAGGCCGATAGGGGCCATCGATACATAGCGACGTTGGCGACAGCAATGATGACAGCTACCATGGCGGCGGCCAAAGATACAAATCAATTGACGCGGACGAAAGCCGGTACTACCAGAAGCGCATACAACCAAACCAGCCATCCGAGCAGGCGACAGCAGCCATTTTACCAGCAACACTCGGCAATGAAGAATACATTCCTAACAACAGCAACAACAATGCAAACGACGATGGAGAGAGCGATAAATATTGGTTTTACTGGCTACCTACAGCAGCAGCAGCAGCCTCCTCATCATGCAAGCAACGGAGGTGAAATAATAAATGAAAGGTTGCAACAACAAAAACAACAACAACGAAACAACGAAATGGCCGGCTCGAGCCGTGTTGCCGCAAGTGTCAATATCGCTGTTGTTGATGATGAGGGCAATGTCGACGGCAATGGCTATGCAGTATATGAAGATAGTGTCGCCAACGTGGCTCCACTACTAACCCCGGCTGCTTCACCTGCTACCCGCAATGCTAATTTTCCCATTGACAGACGTACAGGTGTGACGACGGGCGATGCGTTGTTGGACGCCGTGGCTGATGCCGGCAATGGAGATGTGGACTTGGACGGGGTCGAGGAAGCTGATGATAGTGACTCGTTCGGTTCAATGGAGACGTTGTCGGACAATGTTGCCGTTTGGGTGGACGGCGAGAAGCATTGGGTGGCGGGTGTGGATGCGGGAACGACGTGTGCTGATTTGATTGGCGCGTTGCTTAATTATCAAAACGCACAGCAATTGCATGAATTGAAGCAACAACAACAACAACAGCAACGCATGCGGCAGCATATGTTTGATGTCAACAAAGACAGCAACAAAAACAATAATCTTATTGCTAATAACAACACAGCCCCCAGCATCAATTGTCTTAGTACAAGCAACGCAACAACAACAACAACAACAAATACAAATACAGCCATCAATCAATCAACGTTAATAAAACCATCAACAAATACCAAAGAAAATTGCGATCCATCGCTACTCGCGCCTTGCAGCGGTGAATTGACTATTGGCGCTTGCCTGTCTTCTCCTCTTCCTCCTCCTCATATTGCAGCTGCTGCGGCCACTATGTCTTCGCTGGCGCTAACTGTTCCGGCTAGTGGTAGCGGCTTCAGTGGTGCTGTTGGCTTAGCTTTGTGTGGCAACCGACTGACGGCTCAGCATGCCTCGGAGTACGTCATTGTCAAGCAGCATCGTCACTGTGAAGAGTATTTGGACGGCAACGCCAAAGTATTTGATGTGCTGCCAACCCAAGATGGTACCTCAAGGCGGGAGGTGAGTGATGTAATGTTTGCTAAAGACTTAACTGTAATTTTTCATCGTGTGTTGCGAGACGGTCTTCCGCTCTTACGTACATTGATATATAATCTACACAATTTTAGAGATGCGTTAAGCTCCTTAACCAGAAATTGTGTTCGAAAGACTCCAAGCCTCCAAGTGAAATATTATATATGTTGTTTGGTCTCAGCTTATGTATGTATTTGCTCCAGTGTATAACCCCGTAAAGAGACTTTTTAAAACCAATTCCTTCATATCAGTGCTTGAAATTCTTTATAATAACTCCCCTGAGCTCTTCACCGTAGGTACAGATCACAACAAATCCTTTAAGCTGAAATATCATCGTCAGAGCCAGCCTCCGGATAGGTGCATGACTTGTTTATTCTTTAATTACCGTAAGCGAGGTGAGGGATTGCCCTCCAAAATGTTTTCCACAATGCTGATATAAGTCGTTAAGATATTCCGCTAGCTCTCACGACCAGAAGAATATGCTCTGGTCTGAATGTAGCCTAAATTTCACTATCCCTGATATGGCTTTCGGCCGAGCACTTTCTAAAACAGATGCTGGATTTTTTGATAGGGTTCTTGTTTCCCATTTGAGGAGTTGACATTGCCTGCCTAGGGGTGATCGCATTTTTAATAAAACAGCGTGGTAGCACATTGGTAACAACTCTGCGACTGCTTTTTTGATTCTTGGTCTCTAGGTATGAAGGTAAATGGGCATGGCAAAGTGTTTCAAGGTTAAGGCTCAGTACAATTCTATTCTCTGCACTTTTGCTCGCTTTCTTGGTCCCACTTTTGGTTCGTACTCCTTCCTGAACGTTGATAATTTCAATGATTCGTTCCCGTTCCCAACGACAGCTTCTTTTCGAGAGGCTAGCTGTGCTTATTATTATTGTTCCATCGATGTTGCCTTAAAACATTGGGCTCCTTCAGAAAGAAAGACACTATGAAAGCACCAGTTAAACAGTAACAATCAGTAAATAGTTAACAATCCGAGCTCGGATTGTGGCAATACGTGTATGTTTTGTGAATGGTTTTAACCAAAATTTCCTCAGCAACGCAGAAGATTAAGATTGGCGCTCGGTAACCGCTGAAGCAATTTTCGGCCGAGCTCCTTCTCCAATTTGTGCTTTTGCGTCTAGATGTTTTTCCAACAAATAGAGCGATCTACAGTCAATACAAAGCCGCCTCCGAACGGCTGATGTTTTTTAACCGGGAGCCTTTATTTCATGCCCGTAATACACTCGGAGTAGTGGACATTCCCTGCTGGGGGACCGCAATTAGATAAGTCTAATATTTTTTTTTTCAATTAATTTTCCATTACTTTTGGATGTTGGTGACACCAGAACTTGAACTCGAGCCTTCCGAATGTTAGTACGCAGACCTAACCACTCGGCTACCGTGGCCGTCGGAGTGATACATTCGCCAATTATTCGGTGAGAATTATCCAAATTGTTGTTGACGTTGATGTCCAACACCAAACGAGCAATTGGTAACAGTTACGGAGCAATAGAAATGTTCGACGCATTCAAGGACAGTCGCAGTGCAAAAGGTAACTATTTACAATAACAATTGTGGAGCAGCAAGACACTGTTCTACATGGTGAGTACTACAGTGCGTTGTACTGCTGTCTCTGCTGTCAGAGCAGTATACAAGTCACGCAACGACCCAGTACTGCCATAACAACCTAACAAACTAGCAGCCTAACTGCCTTTTGGCCTGCAGCAGGTACCACAATTGCGGAGTTCTGTTGCTTTGGAGAAGGTAGTAAAAATTTTAAATACCGTAGGCGGTTGCGCCGACTGTAGGGAAAGTGAAAAAGAAGGGCGGAGCGAAGGGCATGCCAGTCGGCTGAGCGGAATATTTGTATGTACTTAGCATTTTCTTGATTGTTTCAAGCTGCCTTTTTCTGCCCTGACAGGATGTCAATAAATTTTTTTTTTTTTTTTTTTGAAATCGTTCGTACAACTCGTTTCACTCTTTGGATTGCACATTTCATTTCACACTTTCTTTTGTTGGCATTTTTGCGAAATGTCCAACTTTTGTTCGAGAAACTTTTTGAAAATTTCCTGCGGCACCACCAATCAACCATAGACGCGTTGGGTTTGCCACATGAGTCTTGCGTTTTTGCGTGGAGGCTCTAATAGAGTTGCAGCGGAGCTTTAATTTCGTTAACGAAAGACTTAAGCTTTCGACGGATCTCCAATTACAACTACTGATACTATTGGTACTCATAAGCTCAAGTACCGACTTTGACTAGAATGCGAACAAGCTCACCCCTAAAACCGGTGCGGTGCGTGATTACCACTTGGAAGTCAAAGAGTTTATTGCGAGGTTTACAATAAAAGGAGTTGTAGACTCTAGTCCCATATATATCGTTCCTGTAAACGCACGACTCCGGTTACAGCTCTTGTAGGTTAGTGACTACGAGTCGGCGGATAAAAATCCGTACCAGAGCTCGAAATTAGTTTCCTCTCTACACAGAGCTCTAAACTTGACCTCCCTTCCGATATGTGAGCAATTTTTATTAAGCTTTAGACTTCATCTTGCTCGGAGGTCCGTTCATTAGTGCATATTAAAAATACTCGTTAGTAGCAGATAAAATCGCAACCGTTAGCTTCTTGCAAACTTTCAAACTAAATCAGAGATATAATTAAGCGTTCCACTGAGCTGCACCTGAACTTACTTGCTGAATTTAGAGAAGCGGAATGAAACGGAGATGGCTCCGACCACGGACTCGTGAGATTGGAACCGCGGATACGACATCGAGTTCGTCTCTTCTTATTAAACAGTCAATTTTTTTGAACGAAGTTTTACTAAAAAGGTTACAATTTTATGCTATCTGCGATCCCTATAGGACAGAGAATTTCGAATTTCAAAAAGTTCGAATTTGCTGTACACCACCTAAAGCAAAATCCAGTTTCGATTCCTACGAAAATTCTTAGTGACTATAACTCGAGTGACTATAACTCGAGTGACTAGAGTTTCTTCCTATCGAATCGCGTTGTACAAGATGTTCTGAAAATTTGGTACTTTTGAAATTACCGTTAAATCCATATCCTCGTCTTCGAATTTTAGTCTCAATTCTTTGACGTCTTCGAAGTCAATACCGAGCTCGTTTGGTAAATTTATTTAAGAAACCTCGGTAGAGTTCGCTTCATGCGACTCAAATTGTCAGTGATGTACTCGCAGTGCGGTACCGTATATTACACTTTAATAGCCCGATACGTGTTTTGCCTTCGGTTAAGGTGAACTCGTCTCCGACTTCGGCTCCGGTAGACTCAGCTCCGTCTCTAGTTATTACATACATGAATGCTTATTGTTATTGCAATTGAAATTGCTGTTGTCGGCTAGTGCAATTTGCGATTTGTAAGACATGCAATTCTCTTTTACCGTTAAGTGTTGAGTCACGCAAAATTTTTACTTTCAAAAGAAACTATGCAATTTTTCAAAGCCAATATTTCCGTTCCACTTTCTTTATTTCTTACATGACAATGGAAAAAATTTCCATCACCAACAACAACAAAAAACTTTAAATGCAACGCAACCACAACTACAACGTCATTGGATTGGCTAAATGCATGCACGCACGTACCTTCACACGCATGGCTACACTCATGCCTAACCGTATACAACACCGCTTGGACTCCGGCTCATCAAAATGTTCACCTCAACTCTATATGACCGCACTCCACTTGCGACCTCATCAATGACGACGACCCGGCCGAACTTTTTCAACACCAACCAACCATCGAACCATACAATCTAATCCACCAGTGCGAATTGCTACTGCGTCGACTTACTGCCGCAAATAACCACAGCAACAGCAATCGAAATGCAACATTCACTGCATTACCTCATCCATCCATCCTTCATCGCCCCACCTCACCTTCGCTCAATCTCAATACACAGGTCTCTTCGTTACTATCCACGGACAAAGATAGCGGCATGGGCAGTCCAGTTGGCAGTTCACGTAGTGCACGGCTTCGTCGGCGTAAATACAAATCAGCAGCGACGGTGAGTTGGTTAGCTCAGGCGAATACATTACATCCACGCGTCTCCCAACGTGCTGTTGCTGCATTCAGTGGGCTTGGCAACGCTATGACCAACGCCACTACGGTGGGTGGTGATAATAGCAAGCACCTCGCTGTCATGGATTGCGGTTTGGGTGAGGACGTTGTGACAGCGGGCGCATTGGATGATTTGGATGGCGGCATTGAAGGTGGGAATGAAGGCGGCGTAAGTGCAAATGAGCGGCTACTAAAAATTATTCTAGCGCAGGATGAAACCATTCATCGCCAGTTGGCCCTTTTAAGGTAAGCGGATGTTACTAAAAGTTTATCATGAGTACAGTGACATAGAAAAGTGTGTTGGAAAGCATATTCCCATGAAAAGATATGGGTTACTGAAGTCGAAACTTTGCACAGAGCAGAGTTTCTATTGATTAGAGTATTTTATGGCAAGTTGCTTTCTGATTTAGCTTAGCGGTTTCTAGAGTACTGCTTAGTCCCTAGTAGATGTTTCGGTAGGAGTCTCAACAGAAAACAACTCTTTAGACCAGAATTAGCTAGAACTAGGTCTATCAACAATTTAATTTGTAACCGCTGAATCGATTTTCGGCTGTGCTCCTCCTCCGATTTGTGATTTCTTAGAACGGCTGATGGTTTTTTATGAGGAGCATTTATTTCATGTCGGAAATACAGCAGCAGGCAATGCTAACCAATCGGCTACCGCTGTTCGTCTGTCAGCTAGTGAGAAAAAGAAACCTTTGTTTCGAATGCCAAATATTGTGAGGAAGCTCTGTACTCCTTCCGTCAACAATTCTGAAGAAGAAACCGCAATTGTGTCAACCGCTGAGAATAAGTATAAAGAGATATTGAAAAGAGGAAGCCACAGCTCTGTATGTCAACCACTGAGAGTAAGTATACAGAGCTCCAGAAAGAAATCCAGATATCAGATCCGTCTACTCAAAAGTCGTAGGGACATGATATTACTTGCGTTTAATATTCGGGATGTTAACAATCTCGCCTGGTAATTTTAGAACTCTTCGTCAGCCGAGGTCTTCTTGTTAAGCTTTTTCCGAAATCTACAACACATCGGAAATGAATTCCATTTAAGCCAGGAAGCAGTGAGTTTTGGCTCAATCCATTATTTTTGAGAACCAAAGCCAGTTATACTGAACATACCTACCCAGTTAGAGCCCGAACTCTGAGACGACTGTAAAATATCTAACGATATCTGATGTTTTCCGGACGAGACACGTCTGTGAGACGCGTAATTATTCAATCTTTGTGGCACACTTTTGTAAGTAACGGTACTCATTCATGTTTACTTTGAAAAACTCACATGCACACAAACCTCTTTGTATGCTCTTGCATATTTTTTTATTTATGCCTTGTTTACTCATTTATTTTTGTACTTGTTCTTCTTGTTTTTGCAAATTTTTCCTTCACTATCCACACCTTGCTTGGCATGTTCATTTTACGCCATTCACACACACACACACACACACTCACACATACACACCCGCTTTTGTGCTAAACAAACACACAGAGAAAAAGAGCGACAAATTTCGAAAATTGAGGAGGAGAAACATCGTGTCCGCGAGCGTGAATTGGGTAAGAATTACCTGCTGGAAACGTACCTGAATGGACTGGATGAGGCCAACGTGGAGCCCGATTTGGAGGCGGGCACCGATGTGGTATTGGCCGATAGTCCGCTTAATGAATTCAATGATGTTCGCGTTGATGATACAATGGCGCTTGTTGTTGTTGACTATGATGATGCCGATGGGGATTGCGCGCGTGATGGTGGTGATGTAGATATCGGTAAGTTGGCAAACATCCCACTTTTTTCATTTGAAAAGCAAAAATTTATACAAATTTAAGTGCTTTAATGGCGGCGTGTCTATTTTTTTTTTTTGTCAATTAGGATTTGAGTTGGGAAAAGATATAAAATTTCATTAAAAATAATCTCTGCTTGGACTCCGGCTCATCAAATCTCTGTTTATTTTTTTTAATTAAATTTTATATCTTTCCTCAACTCAAATCCCACTAAAATTATTTTAAGAAAAAATTATATAAATGAGTAGTAAGTCTTAAAAAAATTAAACTAATTCCAGCGGATGTCCCAGAACTCAGCACCTCACTGTTGTGAGAAATGTTGAGCTTAAAAGTATGCTATGCTTAACTACTAAATTTAAACGGAGCGATTGAGGCATGGTTTTAGGTGGTGGTTTCATGAAATGGATTTCGTGAGAGTAAACAGTAACAGTGAACAAAAATAGTTAATAATTTTCTTTTATTGGCTCATTATTTGACAACATATATTCTCGTCAAAAATATATTTTCATAGAATTCGAAAGTAAATTTAGGAAGTTCACTTACTTCGTAGACTCCTTTTGGGGGCTAGGCTAGTTTGAACTGGCTGTTCAGACACACCACTTACGACCAAGCAATACCGCTATACTATTCATTGGTTCTGGCTTGAAAACATTTGCTGTTTTTCTCGCAAACTGTGGTAGTGGTTTTGGCTCTTTGTTTCTTTGCCGATTTTAGGTCTGCGGCTAGCAGATATATCCTTTGTCTGCCGAGTGCTAGACCCTTACATATTACGTGCGCTCCATTATTTCTGTACTTATTTTAATCTATTGGATCTAAATCGAATGCAAGTCACGCCAAATCGCAAAGTCTCATTAACACTACCACCAGCAGTATGGAATCTGGTCTCTTTACCGCCAGCAAAGTCTGCATACTACTTTTTGCTTTTGCTGCACTTCCCTGAATAGAACTGGTGTATCTACCTGCGGCCAGCACTAGAAAGATTTCCCCTTAGCTGGTTCACCGGCTTTCCCAATGCTTTCGATGCCAATGTGATCTGATACCCAGTAAATGCAAAGCACTTATTTTTCATACATACAGGGTGATCTCTTAAGAGCTATAGGAAAGTTAAAAAAACACACATAAAATTCAGAAAAATGCATGAAATCTTTATTTGAATCGATAAAAGAGTCTATAGAATTGAATTTTTGAAGATTATTTCATGCAAATTTTGACCATGACTGCGCCTCAAATAGCCCATTCGCTTAGTCTATTTCTGGCATACTCTTTCAAACATTTCGGTCGGTATCTCACGAATAAATGCTTCAATGTTGTCTTGTCTGTATAGACATTAGATTTAAAATAGCCCCACAAAAATTATTCTAGAGGCTTTGAACTGCAATATTTAGGCGGCCAATTTGCCGGTCTCGAACGTGAGTGGCTGTTTGGCGTGTGACACGGTCTTGTTGAAATCATCTGTCATGCAAGTCAAGCTCTTTCATTTGCGGCAAAAAAGTTTAATATCATCTCACGGTAGCGCTCACCATTTACAGTTACTTGAAAAAGTACGGTCCAATGATATCACCTATAAACTGCACCAAACTGTGACTTTATCTGGATGCATTGGTAGCTCTTGCAGTGCTTCTGGCTGAACTTCACTAAAAAATCAACAATTCTGCTTATTTACACACCCGATTAAGCCGAAAATGAGATTCGAAGCGCTTGTGAATGAAACGCGAGATGAACAGTGCCACATCTGCCTAGCTGGCGGTTAACTATCTTTCGGTTACATGTTAAGTTAATCGGACATTGTGAAAACGGGCCTAAAAGTTCACTGCTGTCAGACATACGTCTTCTTCTCTTAGCCAGTCAGTTTTATACAGTTAGTCACATAAGTAAGTATACACTAGCTCTGTCTTTGCAAACGATTGAGGTTAACGCGTTGGATAAATATTTAATCAGATATTTTTTTTTTTAAATATTTGCTATTAATTGATGCTTTCATATGCATACAAATTCAACTGTAAATTTTGAGTCCCGTTAGGTACGATTCGCTTAATCTATGAAGAGAGTGAAATTAATATCACAAAAGTTAGTATACATTGGGAGATGTTTAGTGTATAAACCGTGATTCTCATGTCGATTGGGAAAAAAAGATTAAAAAATTCAAACAAAAAATCAAAAGCATGTATAAACATTGGAGGAAAGAGATATTTTTTAAAGTAATTGCCCAATTTTAGTAATGACACCATGAGGCAAAGAGATCTCTGAAGATTTAGAGTCTTTGATAATAAAATATCACCTAAATCGTAAATCATTTCCTGAAAACGATGGTTTAGTGAATAAAAGTTCTGTTACAATTCAAAAGATTGTGAATAAGTATACAAATTTGGAAAGCTCCAGTAATAAGTCGCGCTCTGGGCTCAAAACAAAAACAAACCCCAAGATAAGTGCTCCTAAATTAAAATTTGAAGTAGAAAAAGAAAGTGGAAGCAATGTAGTACTTAAAATATTCGCTGAGTTTTCTATGATGCTGGATATCATGGACGTAATATTTCGAAAAAGCTTCTTGTCAGTAACGTGAATTGGCATAAGCGGATTGGTTTTTCGAAAAATTACGAGAAACATGAACAAAGGTTCTGGAACAAAGTCATATTTTCAGAGAATGCAACTTTAATATTGCTGGTGAAAAAGTATGGAGAAAACTTAGTGCAGAGTTAAATCCTATGAATATGAGTTGCTCCGCTAGGCGTGGTGGGTGCCCGGCAAACGCTTGGGGGTGCATAGCGGCTAATTTGGTATTCATCGAGAATATTATGGACCGATGACCGGTTAATGAAGCCGTTTAGAAAATAATTTAAGACAAAGCGCTATTAAATTGAAAATGGATTCTTCATTCATCTTCTAGCGAGATAGTGATCCTAATGATCCCAAGTACGCATCGAGTATTGTACGAAAATAGCTTTTATATAATTTGCCAAAACAACCCTATCGAGCATTAATGGGAACATTTAAGGCGTCACACATGTTAGCATTCAATAACAAATTAAGAACAACTTAAGGGTATACTTGAAGAAAAGTGGGGCAAAACACCTCTAAAAGTAACAGAAAAATTGATGAAATCAATGTCTTCATGACTTAAAGCCATTCTGTATGTATATATAATTATGTGACTAACTGCATACTAATGTGGGCAAAAACTAATGTGAATTTTTAATTTGAGCTTCGCGAGCTTAATATTTCTGGTTAATTCTTTTTTATTGTTGGTAGTACTGTTATTGACATCTACGCCAAATTTCATGTCAGTGGCATCATTAGTATTTAAGTTACGCTTGTGTTTACTAAACTTCTAAAAGTGCTTTCCGCGATTTTTATAATGTCTGATTTAATTGAACAAAGAAGTTCGATCGAATTTGGTTTGCGTAACGAATTTTCGGCTGCTGAACGTTGAGGATGCTACAGAAAGCCTTTGGCGACTCAACTATGTCGCAGAAGAACGTGTATAAGTGGTACAAATACTTCAAAGAGGGTCGGAAACGTGTTGATCAGCGCTCGGGACCACCATCAATGTCAACTGATGTACAACACGTCAATGAAATTAAGGAATTATTGCTAAAAAATCGTCGTTTGACTGTTTCCGTGAAGCGATTCGCAAAAAAGACCACAATTATTGGCCAACAACTTTTGTTTTTTGCATCACGATAATCCTTTGTCGAACGCAGCACTCATTCTTTGCGACCATTGCGCTAAAAATTCGACGAATATTGTTCCCCAACCACCGTATTCGCCGGACTTAGCATCATGTGACCTCTGACTCTTCCAAAAACTCATAAGACCACTCAGAAGACACCGTTTTGAGTCGATTGAGGAGATTAAACGTGAATCGGCTGGCTCTCTGAAGGCCATACCAGAACGTGGCTATTTGACATGCTTCGATAATTGGAAAAAGCGTTGGCATAAGCGCATTGCATCGGCAGGGGACTATATGGAAAGCGACGAAATCGATGTAGAAGAACGAATAAAGATTTACAATTCTACAAACAAATTCACCTTACTATCGGCTTTCCCAATGCTTTCGATGCCAATGTGATCTGATACCCAGTAAATGCAAAGCCCTTATTTTTCATACATACAGGGTGATCTCTTAAGAGCTATAGGAAANTTTTGAAGCCGACGAAATCGATGTAGAAGAACGAATAAAGATTTACAATTCTACAAACAAATTCACCTTACTTTTTGCCCACAGAGTATATTGTATAATTGAAGGGTTTTAACGTTTAAAAAAAATCTAACCAAATAAAAATGATTCGAAGTTCACTCATTTCGTGAAATAATACTCCGAATAGCAAACTCACCAATTACGAAAATTGGTGGCAACACAACTAAAACTTTCACTAAACGTAAAAAATACATACACAAAATACATAAAGAAGATTGGTTCGATAAAATTATTTTCACAAGATAATTTGATTTGTAAATTAACGACTATATCAAGATGTAATCCAAATGCCTTCAAGTTCTAAATTCATTTTCAATTATAAACTTTAACGTATGACAGATTCGAATTGCAGTTTTGTTTTAAAAAAAGATCTCTCCAAGTGTTGCATGGATGAACATGTGCTCATGCTTTCAAGGATGGAGACTGAAAACAAAATACAGTCCTCTAAGCGGAAGTGATATCCTAAATTTAAGACGAATTCCAGGGATGGTACAATTTCCCGTAGCATAAAAGCGGATATTTTTATCATTAAGGGGTTTATCAAAAATCAAACCTTTTTTAATTATTTTATTTTAGCCGCACTTCGAAATTTTTGACACTAAACGTGCCTGGTACCCGAAATATGTTTTTGCCACTTTTGAATTGGTTCAGAGGTAACTCTTGCCAAGATTAGCATGAGGAAGTGAATCAGAATGAGAATCGTACTTATTCGAAACATATGTTTGTATATAGCTTTTTTCATATGCCAATCGGTGCAAAACATTTTTTCCGAAAAGGGGTTCAGTAATCG